ATTGCCTGGGGACACTGCGCAGCGACATACAGAAGACAGTCGTTTATGAACGTGTGCGTAAGGGCCGCCGTAAACGCTCCAAGATATGTACCGAATAGGGGTGGATGCACAAGACGGGATGTTCTGCTCACAGTAATCGTGTGGGAAGGTTTCAACTCAGGGCACTCAACCCGGAAGGGGGCATGGAGAATGGGCGAACCCACAGTCGACTCTTGGAAGTCGGCAGATTGGGATTCTTGCGGAGAGCAGTGACGAGACCTGGGGAGTAGGTAGATTGAGACCCCAGCGTCAAGTCACAAAACCCTCAAAGCGTGTCACCACCTGAGGAGTAGGCAGGTTGAGAACTCGGTGTAGTCGAAGCCGAAACGTCGAAGAACTGCAAATACCAGACGCGGTTCAACTCGGACTTCAGTTCATCAGATTTCTGATAGTTTTTAGAAATATTCACCATTTCGAGCTAGGTCAAACTGACATCTCAGTGAGTTAGCTTGAGCAACAATATAAATATTTCCACTCACCTGCCCTTAAGAGTATCTCCACGATCTCCGTATACCCTTTCCTGCTGGCCCAGATGAGGGCGGTAGTCCCATATTTGTCACCTACATTGACTTTGGCCCCGCGTTGTAACAGGGCTTGGACGATCTGTGTGTGGCCTCTTCCGGACGCCCACAGCAACGAGGACAAGTGATAATTTCCCTGAGCATTAACGTCGGCTCCCCTCTCGATCATGAGCAGGGCGACATCTACGCGGCCCTTGTATGTCGCCCACATTAATGAAGTCCAACCGCCATTAGATGAAACTTTACGTAGATACAGCTTATAAAAGCAAAAGCAGATTTTTTTTTATTAAAATGAACTATTTACATGCCTACGTTTCATGAGTACCTCTTCCTTAAGGGGTAGATTGGCAAAGTGATTCCAGACAGGAGCGCCATCGCGTCCCCGCCGAAAGGAGGCGGTGGGAAACACTCCCCGCGATGTTAGCGGGTTGACGCCCACCCAGAAACATAGACTTTATTAAAAAAACGATTAGGTAATGTGCCTACTCGGCACATCAAGGCTTATGCACATCATTACATGGTTTTGATATTCAGGTCATTCAAATGAAAACATAGCTGTCAATATGTTGGTTAGGCAGATACTCCTGGAAAAAGTTCATGAAAAAACCAGCTGTTTTTTCATGAACTCACAAAAAGTCATTTACATGTCGCTCATGGAAAATATCGTGACGGCGGGGTTGATTATGATAAACTCTAACTGCCGTGATATTAGTAGTCAGCGGACTTTTCGGAAGGAACCACTTGAAGTGTTTGTAAGCAAGCCTTCGGATCAAATCCGTAATCGGTTCGACTTTCGCTATATCTCGTAAACGCTTCAACGAAATGTATCGATCATTATCAGTCAGGATACGAAGCACCTTATTCACCATCGTTTCAAGTCTCCGCAACGGAGTCCTCTTAAGGCTGCAGAATACACTTAAGGCTGCAGAATACAGGACAAGCGTACAACATAGTTAGCCTGATAATTTGTTTATATATCAGGAGCTTGTTTGCCAAACTCAAGTGCTCATGAACATTCAAGCGCTTGTCCAGGAGTTCAGTCTTTGACGGATTTAGCCTTATCTTATTCCTCTCCATGTATGATACAACTAACCGATCCAGATGAATATGTATTTGGCGTGTTGCCACCTCACTAGAGTAAGAATCTAAAGATAGATATGAAGAAAATTAAATGGGCTGTAAACTCATTTCAACCCTATGAGTCGCCGGGACCTGATGGCATGTATCCAGTAATGCTTCAAAAGGGACCGGAAGCACTTTTCAAAAAAGCTTACCACTGGGACACATACCAAAAACTTGGAGTCTGATCAGGGCCACCTTCATTCCGAAACCTGGGAAAATCGGACAGAACTCGGCGAAGGCTTTGAGACCAATTAGTCTCATGTCATTTGCGTTGAGGGACGTATCACTGGCTATCAGACCATTACATCGAGACCAATATGCATACAGATCAGGTATGTCAACAGAAACGGCTCTATGTCGGGTAACAGAAAAAGTAGAATATACTTACAAAAACAAGGAAGTACTTTCAGCTGCTTTCTTGGACATTGAGGGAGCATTTAATAATACGTCGTTAGAATCAATCATCCAGGCGTCGAGGAGAAGAGGGATCGACAAGACAAGCTGTAGGTGGATAGACTGCATGTTTAGGGAAATATTGGTATGTACAACCATTATGGAGGAAACAGTCGTGACACAGGTAGCAAGGGGCTGTCCTCAGGGGGAGGTTCTATCCCCTCTGTTATGGAACCTTGTAATGGACAAGCTACTATGTCTCTTGGGCCATAACGGGTATAAAGCACTGGGATATGCAGACGAGTTAGTCATATTAGTCCAGGGTAAATACAATAATGTAGTGAAGAGATGAATGTAGCACTGAACATTATAGCAAGATGGACCGAGGAAGAATGGCTTAACATAAGCCCATCCAAATCGACCATAGTAGCATTCACCAAGAGGACTAAAACGGAGGGTCTCGAACCTCTAAAACTTCGAGGTAAAGAAATACAAGTGTCGGGGGAGGTTAAATATATGGGAGTAATCNTACACACGATTTTTATTGCTCCCTTTGTTGATGTGTACACGCGTCTTGATTAAAGCAAATCTAATTGCAAAAAGGTTCGATATATATTCGGTGTTGTTGAATCACAATGGAAATGTTCTTTGCAAACACTTTCATTTGGTAATTGCTATTTACTCCAGTGTAAACACTGCTGTTTGACTTTTATGACGATCGTAAATATAAAATTTCTCCGTACGAACGAGTTTTTATTCTCAAATATTTTTATATTAAGAATTATTGGTATCTGTCATTAGTAAGTTTGTTACAAAAATCATGGCCCTGGAGAACCTCAGGGTTCTCTATAGGGTTTTGAGGACTGATGGAAATGCTCAAAATGCACCTACCACCTGAATGGAGTTGGCCAAAGTGATATACACTGTCCGCTACTCGCGATGGAACACCCCATTTTCACGGTAAAACATATNGAGAGAAAATGGTAATTTTGTAAGAGGAACGGAAACATGTAATCAGTGAGGTTTTAGGATGGTTAATGTTACTTCATATTCTCATTTTCCCATTATGAAAAAAATAAGGATATTTTGTGGCGAAAAATGTTATGTAGCACCTTTGATTTTTTTTTCTTTCCTTTTTTTTTTCTTCTTTCTTTTTTTTATAATCTTAGTTCTTTGAATTGATTTGTATTTCTAGTTGTGTCATAATTATAAATGATAGATTCCTAATTCTTGCACGGAGATCTTCCTTGCATTACATTTTAGTTTTTAAGTATATTTTATCCAATTTCGGTAACCACATGATTTTAATTTATTTTATCTTAATTGTTGCAATAAACTTGAAAACGATAATATTTTTGAATAGAGAATGAAGAGACCGTTCAAACGATATATCACAAGCCTATATTTCCCATTTAAAAAAATTGATGTATCTGTCATTCGGAGGGGGTTGAAGGTAGGGGTAGCATTTTTCCGTTGAAGTATATCAAATTATACTTTAAATTTGACGTGTTTCAGGATTTCGTTAAAATATGTACCATAACCGAAATAATGAATTTATTCCATTTGGCTTCAACACACTGTATAGCACAACAGAGTAGAATACATATTTATAGAGATATGGAGCTACAAAAACGCATGGTCCAGTCATTTTAGGGGGTTTGCCTAGGAAAGTGGACATACCCAGCTGTAAATTTGTATAAACTTTGTATTTTGGCATCATAAAAGTATTCTCAATACGTCTACA